TCCTATAATACTAAACATCTTGAAGTGTAGTTCTAACTCTAAATAAGACTATGTAAAAATGGCACCATCTTACTCCACAGAGCTGTTCCTTTGGTGTATTTAGAGTTATAATAGTTATATCTACCTTTTCAGTGATAAACATAAGATTAAAATGATTTGAACTTTTTATGGTTTTCCATTGGCTCTGATAGAATAGCCTGATAGAATGAGCTGAATTCTATTCCATCTTGTGAATCAGCACAGTGGTTAACTAAATGCCAGTGAGCTTTATCTAATCATTAACGTTACAAACTTAAAAAAACAACAAATGGTTTGGTAGCACTTCATAGACTAACAAAACATACAGAGTATATCATGAGCTTTTGTGGGCACAGCCCACTTCTTCAGATGACCGGTCATTTGAAGAAGTGGGCTGTGCCCACAAAAGCTCATGATATACTCTGTATGTTTTGTTAGTCTATGAAGTGCTACCAAACCATTTGTTGTTTTTTTAAGTTTGTAACGTTAATGGTTAGATAAAGCTCACTGGCATTTAGTTAACCACTGTGCAGATTCACAAGATGGAATAGAATTCAGCTCATTCTATCAGGCTATTCTATCAGAGCCAATGGAAAACCATAAAAAGTTCAAATCATTTTAATCTTATGTTTATCACTGAAAAGGTAGATATAACTATTATAACTCTAAATACACCAAAGGAACAGCTCTGTGGAGTAAGATGGTGCCATTTTTACATAGTCTTATTTAGAGTTAGAACTACACTTCAAGATGTTTAGTATTATAGGACTAATTCTGTTTGTAAAGACTATCAGGAAGAACAAAATGATATGGCTTAAAGATTGTTTATATTTTATTGTTATCCTTCTAATAAATAAGTACATAACATAACATAAGAACATAAGAACGGCCATACTGGGTCAGACCAAATGTCCATCTAGCCCAGTAGCCTGTCTGCCGACAGTGGCCAGCATCAGGTGCCCCACAGAGGGTGGACCGAAGACAATGATCAAGCAATTTGTCTCCTGCCATCCCTCTCCAGCCTCTGACAAACAGAGGCCAAGGACACCATTTTATCCCCTGGCTAATAGCCTTGTATGGACCTAACCTCCATGAAATTATCTAGCTTCTCTTTAAACTCTGTTATAGTCCTAGCCTTCACAGCCTCCTCTGGCAAGGAGTTCCACAGGTTGACTACACGCTGTGTGAAGAAGAACTTTCTTTTATTAGTTTAAAACCTGCTACCCATTAATTTCATATGGTGTCCTCTAGTTCTATTTAGGGAACTAATAAATAACTGTACTTTATTAGCCCTCTCCACACCACTCATGATTTTATATACCTCTATCATATCCCCCCAGTCTCCTCTTTTCTAAACTGAAAAGTCCCAGTCGCTTTAACCTCTCCTCATATGGGACCAGTTCCAAACCCCTAATCATTTTAGTTGCCCTTTTGTGAACCCTTTCCAAGGCCAAAATATCTTTTTTGAGGTGAGGAGACCACATCTGTACACAGTATTCAAATGTGGGCGTACCATAGTTTTATACAGGGGCAGTAAGATATTCTGTTTTGATGGCTTTTCCCAATATTTAATATTTCATCTTCACTTCAGCATTTCATTAACAATTTTCTCATTTTATGTCAAGATTTTTTTGAGTCACATGTATTATCCTGCATCTAGTTCAATGAAGTCAGATTAAGTTCCCACTTAAATCAGTTCAACATATTGACTTCAAGTAGTTAGAACCAAAGTTAATATATTTGCTGTGGATTTACACCAGTGTAATTAAGTGCAGAATTTACCTTTATATTGTTGTCACAATGATGTTTCCATAAAGTTCTTTCACATGATAGCAATAACATGCTTTATCACTCATTGTGTGATAGGTCTCTTTCTGTTTTATGAACTTTGCACATGTTATCAAATTCAACCTTTTAAAATTGTCATAAAAATTACCAGCCCAGAGACAAAATCTTTCCTCCCCTCCCCCACCAACTTTTTACATGATGATAATTAAAATAAAAATCAGTGTGGTTATTCACCAATCAGAAAAATCATTCCCCCTGGGTTGCAAGCTGGTGAGTAGAAGTTTCCATGGCTGAACTAATTAATCTAAGTAAGTTAATTATAGCTTGAGGAATGTTACCATAATCGTATGTATATTTGTTAGATTTCACTTGATTCTGGATGCTCTTTTTAAAATGATGCTCATGGAAATAGTGTGTCACTTTTCTTTGCTGTTTTTGCCTGCACAGTAAAAATAGGGACAAATCCTCATGATTCTTTCCTGCAGGTACAGAATCTAGTCAGAGCTCCCCAGGCTGAAGAAGCTTTGTGTCTGCAGAGCAGAGGTCAGATCCTGAGCAGAGAGACTTCACTGAGTAGAAACTATGTCATGCTAGTCAACCATGCAGCTCCAACCTCTTTTCAGAGAATCCACATTTACTATGGAATAGTCTTAAATGACATGTAGAAGCCTCATCACTTGAGACATTCAATAATTGATTGGGTAACATGCCTGAAATTGCAAGTCCCTCACAGAGATAGACTAATAGGACTTTTAGCTCTCTGAGATCAATTATGTTTGTGTGTAACTGACTTATTAATAGGGGACTATATATGATGTATCTATTTAAATACACAGATGAGCACCTTTAAATCCATAGGGAAAAATCCTGCAGCATCAAGAGTTGGGATAATTAAAACACAATAGACAGGGGATATATAAAAGAAGGTGATATTGTTAATTTTGAAATGGGGGTTTGGATAGCAGCAAGGGGATGTGTGTGGGGGGGCATTTAATCAGGTTCCTACTGCATTTAAAGATCAGTCTATTCAGCACGAAACTGAATTCTACCTAACTGTGACAAAGTGTATGTATGCTACCAACCAGAGAATGAACAAACAGATTAAATTTGTTCACTGGGGTGAGAGAAGAGTCTGGTCCTACCATAAAGATTTCTATAGCTGCCAGGCTTTAAAGCAAAGGAACTTAAGCTTCTGGTTCATTAAGAGGCATCCCTAGAGAGAATAGGAGGTTCATTGGGCATGAACTCCCTTGAATAGAATTGCTGAAGGAGGATTTGAACTATTATCTGAACCCTCTTGAGGAACGAGCCTTTAGTATCTGCTTCCTTTGTCAGAAGGGAGACCAAGAACTGTTCCTTTTGACCTTGATAAAAGGATAAACTACATTAACTACACATGTAGGAAGGTGCTAGAATAATTTATTAGAACCCTTCTGTGGAGGAAAATGATTTCTGTATTTGCTTGTTAAGAAGGGGAGCTCTAAAGAAATGTTTCCTGACTAAAGAAAAATCTTATTTGTGTATGGTGCTTTTGTGCATTTGCATGTGGGTTTTTTTCTTTCTTTAAAGGTTTAGCAATATTTTATTTGGTGGGGAAAGGGTATATAATTTTTTTTTCAAAACCATAAATGTATGGTTTTGCTCCTATGCTCCAAAATTATTTTGTAAGCCTGTGTCCTCCTTTGATCATCCCAAAACTCTTTCATTTGCCAGATCAGCATATAGGATTGAACATCAAGCTTAATTGGTGATACACCTGCTGCTAATAGTGATGCAAATACATGATAGAGAGTTCAATTTAAAAAAAAGATCTTACGGGGAGTCAGTAAAGATTGTTCAATTCCAGGCTCTGCTACTAAACTCCTCTGTGACCTTTGGCTACTCACTTAAATACTCTATGCCTCAATTTCTGATTTTTAAAATGGAAAAAAATAATTCCTTTCTCCCTCTTTTTGTTTGATTTGTCTATATAGATGATAGGCAGGGACCATCCTATTACCTTTTGTACATATTTTGCATAACATGTACTGGATGCACTACTAGAAATCCAATAATAATAAAATTCAGTGGTCTCCAGATTTTTAAAAGGTTTAAAATTACTTCAGTACCATTAGAGTTGAATAGAAAAGTCTCATGATTAAGAAAAAAACAAAACTGTTCAATTCACCATTTAATATACCGTTTGAGGAGAAGCATTGATTTAATCCAAAATCACTTAAATGTATTACCTATGAGTCCCTTGACATTATGTACATGCATGGCAAGCCTCCCAGTACCGATAAATTGAAAAGAAATGTTTCTTTCGTCTAGTTGGTAGTCTGAGGTGTCAAGATTTCTTCTTTAGTGCTGTGCTGAGATTGGTTTCAATACATTGGCCAAAAAAAGAAAAAAAAAGCTTTACAACTCAGCAAGGCATGACACAGAGCTATGAAAGAAGTTTTGAGACTACTAACAGGAAGGATTAAAGAAACATTCTGAACATCTATAGCGTAATTAGCAAAATGCCTATATAATTTAGTTCCATGTGTGCACTGTTCCTTTTCTAGCTGAATTCTCTTGCTTCTATAAGAGATGGAACATATTTTTTAAAGGTAAACCGTAGATTTCAGATATGGTAATTAAATATTTTATAATATAGCAGAACATAAAAATCATTTAAAGGAGGATCTTCACTGGAACATATTTTTTAAAGGTAAACCATAGATTTCAGATATGGTAATAAAATATTTTATAATATAGCAGAAAATAAAAATCATTTAAAGGAGGATCTTCAATAAATAAAATCTCAAAAATAAGCAATGATGTATATTAGATCTAAACGCCATTAGGCTACAAATTATATTAGGTAAATACAAGAAGTCCTGGATCATAAAAGGATGTTAAAAAAGCTAAACAATGGGCATTCTAGCCCAGATATTAGAAGCTGAAACATTGTAAGACACTGAAATGTCTGACCTTCCTCTGCTAGACACCTTACTTTCACAAGGATGCTTAAAGAAATGTAACTGAAGTTATCGAGTCTCGTTTGTGAAAATGGGTTCAAGAGCTGTGTATTGAAAAGAAATGGGTTCAGAGGATCATTTTGGTCATACAGAGACTGGTCCAAATTCCACTGAAATAACCAAGAGCATAAACATCTGTAATCCCACCCTCCTTCTTTTCTTCTGGGTTATTTTGGAACAAGCAACACTCACCTGTGTGCCTGGGCCTCTAATGTTGTTGTCATTAAAGAAGATCCTGAGAATCCAAGAGTTGATGTTGGATAGATGAGCATCCTCTAAAGGAATTTAAAACTGGTGGTGCCTCCACCTGGCTGGTGCCAGTATGCATCCAATGGCCTGTTTGGGGAACCTCCAGAAAAAAAGGAAATCTAATCATCATCATCATCATCACCATCGTCAATCATTTGTTGGTCTAACTCAAAAGGACCAATTATAAATAATACAGCTCCAATATACTTTGATTGACACATCTTTACTTAGCAACTCAAAGAAACAGGGTATAATAGGTTAAGATTAAATGCCATTAATAATTGACATTCACAGGAGGGCAGCTGAATAAAATCAATTAACAAATATCATATAGAGTGATAACTGAAACTTATTCATGGGGCCCCATGTACCCCTCTCTAGGAGTGCACACTTCTCTGGATTTCAGAGTTCTAGGTGCTTGCACAGGTGAGCCTGAAGACTTGCAACTGGAGCCAGCACTCTGCACGTTCAGTGCATCAGTCCAGCCAAGGCAATGAGCTATACAACTCCTCTGAAAATAGGATTTGGATGCACCAAATGTCAGGAGCTCTGCGACCTAGTTTGATGGGAAGATAACTCTACCTCTCCTCAAACACAGTCTCTGTTGTGTCCCTTCCCTTGCAAGCACTTTCCCAGACACACTCTACCTCTCCTCAGACACAGTCTCTGTTGTGCCCCTTCCCTTGCAAGCACTTTCCCAGACAAGGATAGGGGTTCTCTCACTCTGCTCCAGGCACAGAAATAGTTTCTTTTCTGATCCAGGAAAGATGCCAAACGTCTCTGAAGTTCCCTGATTTATCCCCAGAAAGCTCTCAGCAGCAGCTCCTAGTGTTCTAGCAGCAACTCCTGGTGTACACAGAACTTCATACCCAAATATGGCTCCTCTCTCCAATAGGAAAGTGAATGCTCTTTCCACAAGGCATCATGGGAGTTGTAGTCTCTAAGGATGTATCTCCACTGCACCCTAAACTCGAAATAAGATACGCAATTTGTGCTACACAAATTGTGAGACATCCCTTATCCGTTATGGAACAAGGGTTACAGGAATTCTGAAATAGCGCACCTGTTATTTCAAAAAATATTTCACAATAATGGGCGGCTTGTAAAGATGCAGGGTAGCTATTTTGGTATCCCGGTATAGCCGTGCAGTGTAGACGTACCCTAAGGCTGGATTGCATCACACAACTGAAAGACTGCTAATAATACTCAGAGGTCTCACTAATAAAGAGTTCCTACACATCCAAAGATCCAAAACATTTAGGCAAGGAGATAGTTGACTTATGAAGGAAGAAAATAACTCACGGACACTGTGATAGACATATGAATTAACATACTAAAATAGATAAAAGGCTGTAATCAGCACCAAGTTGTTGCCATTTGGACATTACATTGAATGTCCAAGGTAAACGTGTGCAGGCAATAAAGCAGTTCCTTTTACCCCATCCACTCCTGGGTCACCTGTTTCTTTTCTAATTGTCTTTTTTTCCCATGGAATGCAATAAATGTTTAGAATTCTCTGCATGTAGACATCATGGAAGAATCCACTTAGCTAAGGTTCAAGAATAAAAATTGTGAACTGCTTGGACATAAATGGCATTCTTGGAATCATAGTCTTTGTCAAAAGCAGGGCCAGTCTTCCTCTATTTGTTAAACTTTTGAATACTTTATAGTTTCCCAAATCTCAGTGTCCACAAGCCCAGCACCTTAGGGATATGTCTAGACTACATGCCTCTGTCGCCAGAGGCATGTATATTAAATTACCCGACATAGTCAATGAAGCCGGGATTTAAATATCCGCGACTTCATTAAAATAAAAATGGCCATCGCGCTGTGCCAGCTCAGCTGATCGTCGGCACAGTGCGGCAGTCAAGATGCGGATTGGTCAACAGGGAATGCCTTTGTCGACCGCTCCCTTATGCCTCTTGAAACGAGGTTTACAGGAACGGTCAACAAAGGCTTCCCCTGTTGACCGATAGCTGTGCCAACGATATTTAAATCCCGGCTTCATTGACTATGTCGGGTAGTCTAATTTACATGCTTCTGGCATAGGTTACCTATCCCTAAATCCAGCTCCAGTCACAAGAATAGAATTATCATGTTAATCTGTCTACACTATACTCCCACACCTGAGAAAAGCCTAGCGGAAGCAGATTACAAATTCAGGATTTGCCCCACTTCTTAATTTTGTACTATCATTCTCCACAGTGATACAACAATCTTTTAACGTAAGTGCTCCTTGTCTGCGTATGTTTTAAAGTGGTGCAGCCTGACATTTGGGAACCACATAATCAGAAGATTTGTCATCTCTGTTGCCCAGTGAAGTTATGCTTAATTCCAGAAAGTGTGTTTTACTTCAGTGATTCGAGATTGTATCCAGCATTTTGAATGCAAATTTGTTGGCAACCCATTCAGGCTCACAGTGCGCACCTGAGTCAGGTGGGTAGAGCATCTTTGCTTAAAACTGAATTTGTTTATCTGACGTCCTTGATCATTTATGCCATAGCAAACTCCATAGGCTACATAGCAGAAAGAACTTGATGAGAGAAATTGGTGTCATGGTGGCAATGGCAACACATCAGTCTCTCCTGTTCTCAACCTGTGGCACACAACACTTGAGTTTGCCAAGGATTGTAATGCTTTAGACCAGTGGTCTCCAACCTTTTTACACCCACGATCACTTTTTAAATGACAGACCAAGCCAAGATCTACCGCCCCGCCCTTTCCTTGAAGCCCCGCCCTCTCTATTCTCCTCCTCTCCATCACTTGCTATCCCCAATCCTTATACTGTTACTTTAAAAAAAAATTCCCACCATTCCTCGCAGCTACTCACCTGTGCTGTTGCTTGGTGAGTAGCTGCTCCTCAAATGAGGAAATATAATGTAAATGTACTGCGCAGGCACATGGTTCAGAGAGGGCTCAAGATCTACTCTTAGAGCCTCCAAGATCTACCAGTAGATTGAGATCTACTGGTTGGTGACCATGGCTTTAGACTAACTAGCTCACTGGGCTCAACATAAGATGAAATGTAATGGCTTATAATATATAGAGGAGATCAGGCTAGATCTAATGATCCCTCTGGTGTAATAGAGAGAGAGAGGGAGACTAATGATCCCTCTGGTGAAATAAAGAGAGAGAGAGAGAGAGAGAGAGCACAACAGCCTAGCTCTAATCATTTGTGCTATTTGGCAGTTGCTCATTGTATTTGAAATGTCAGCAAAGGGCAGGGCAATTTTTTTTTTTAGAAAACCACAATGGCAAGTCTATTATCTTTAAACTGCAGATCGTGGCTAGCACATAGTATTTAAGCTACATGCTACCCACTCATTGGGCTTTCTAATCAACACCGCCACTAGCTCTGCATTAAAACCAGCTCCTATAGAGCTAATTCCTGTGGGAATTGAAATGGAATGTGCTCTATAAGTGCATTCCAATGTGTGTTCTAGTTTCCACATTCATTTTCATGACACAGCTTATAAAATTGAAAGGCAAAATGAATAGTCCAGAAATTAGCCCATAACAAATTAATCTTTTTAGGTGTTCATTTTTGGTTTAATAAAATGTATTCATTAAAACATGAGACATTAGACTACACTGGTATATGTAACCTGCCACAAAACTGCAAAAGGTTATATTTTAGATGAGCATAGAACATTTTATAAAAGACATGTGGGCACTGACTGTACTGATTCCTGTCCTCATGGCATTCTGCCTATCTGCATCTGCCTATTACCCTGATATAATAATGATCCCACACCTGTTGTGGGTCATGCAAATGGGATCCTTAGATTAAGATCCAATTCATCCATGGGACACATGAAAGTGACAAAAAAAGATATCATATATGAGTAGGGACAGAATTTAGCTCTAATCTAATCCTCCCTTGCCACTTCCTGTCCCATTTCACACTCTACTCTGAGAGAACCCAAACCTCACTCCTCTGACCTCCCCACCAGCATTTCCTGTACACTGTCCAATAGCTGATCCACAATGGGCAGGAGGCTCTGGGAAGGAAGGGGAGGGGCTGAATGATAGGGGGTGCTAGTGGATGGGAGACAATGGGGTGAGGAGGAAGAGATGATAGGGGTCTTCTGATGGATGCTCAGCATCACCCCTCCCCCATATTTTCTCCATGGGTTCTCCAGCCCGGGGGCACTGACGGATTTGGTGTCCATTATGGAAAGGATACATAGATTCTTGAGTTTGTTTTAGAGACCTGGTGATTCAAAGGGTCCCAGGGCTCCTAGCCATCACTGCTGCAACTGTGGCAGCTTCTGGAGCCCTGGACTCTTTAAATTGCCACAGGAGCACCATTCTGCATGCTCTATGCAACTCTGAGGGCTGAGGGTGGTCAGTGCTGTAGTCCGGGCAGTGTTGACAGCTAGCTGTTTTGGTTTCACTTCCACCCGAGGTCTTGCCTGTTCTGTGGATGTGGAGCTGGCCCCACACATGCCTTGTCCAGGAGCCCCTGGAAGCTGTCAACACCACTGATTGGATGCAAAGGAAGCACACAAGTCTCACATTCAGTGTTGTGTGCAATCACCAAGAACCTCACTTCACATGCTCTTGATTTACTTATGTGTCACTTTAGTAATACCTAGTGCACAGGCAAAAGCAAACACAAACACAAACACAAACAAACAAATGTCTTGTAGGACTCACAGAATCCTGAGGGGCCTCATGCAGCCTGCAGGGCACAGGTTGCCCAACACTGCCATGGAACTATCACTTATCTCCCAACTTTAAAGAACTGGCATGCCTTACACAGGGTTTTAACACCATTCCATACAGTCTGAGAAGTATACATCCTCACAGAGAAGTGCCTTACAAAGTGCATATAAGTGTACACATAATAGGATTTTTGCATTTACCAGTATTAAAACTTAGGGAATCCTGTACGCACACAAAACGTTTTTTGTAAACAAGAGTGGTTTACATTATTCATAATTATTTCAAGGGTTATAAGCCAACTGTTACTTGTGCATATACATTTACTAAATATGATTTCCTTTAGAGATTTTTTGTCATTCCTATCAGACATTTAATTCTATATTTTATATTTTGTTCTTAAACCACTAAACTCCGGTCTTTCTCACTGCAGAG